CCAGAATGGTATCCTGACTAACACCCTCTAAATGGTATCCTAACTAACACCCTCCAGAATGGTATCCTAACTAACACCCTCTAAATGGTATCCTAACTAGCACCCTCTAAATGGTATCCTAACTAACACCCTCCAGAATGGTATCCTGACTAACACCCTCTAAATGGTATCCTAACTAGCACCCTCTAAATGGTATCCTAACTAACACCCTCCAGAATGGTATCCTAACTAACACCCTTCAGAATGGTATCCTAACTAACACCCTTCAGAATGGTATCCTGACTAACACCTCCAGAATGGTATCCTGACTAACACCCTATAAATGGTATCCTAACTAACACCCTCCAGAATGGTATCCTAACTAACACCTCCAGAATGGTATCCTAACTAACACCCTCCAGAATGGTATCCTAACTAACACCCTCTAAATGGTATCCTAACTAACACCCTCCAGAATGGTATCCTAACTAACACCCTCTAAATGGTATCCTAACTAACACCCTCCAGAATGGTATCCTAACTAACACCCTCTAAATGGTATCCTAACTAACACCCTCCAGAATGGTATCCTAACTAACACCCTCTAAATGGTATCCTAACTAACACCCTTCAGAATGGTATCCTGACTAACACCCTCTAAATGGTATCCTAACTAACTTATATGATACATGCTCTAGGCCACAAGCTTCATGACATTAAACTAACTGACTAACATGATCCAGGTTCTAGGACAGTATCCTAAATGAAAATCATGCTCCAGAAACCTTTTGCAATTGATTGGTTGACTTAATTACAGTTACTCATCCATGAGCCATTGTGCATGATCAATCTATGTGCCCCTTTCCAGTCTGATAATCAACATCTCCCGCATGTAGGCAGGTACTATTCTATTGTACATAGGGGATGTCAGGTTTATTGCAAAATTTAAATTTCACTTTTATGCAACCTGAATAGACAAGGTGTAAGATAATGATGTGTTATTATCTTCCAGCATGTGACACTTCCTATCATTGTTTGTGTGAAGGTCACTTAAATCATACAGGAAAATTGTCTAACTGTTCACTAATAGGCTGGTAGCTAGGTATCAGGTAGAGTGTTGTTTTGTAATTGTACCGTAATATGGATCATACCAATACTGTGTGGGTATCTGGTCTGTTGTACCGTAAAGTCTATAATATCAGCACAGTGTGGGTATCTGGTCTGTTGTACCGTAAAGTCTATAATATCAGCACAGTGTGGGTATCTGGTCTGTTGTACCGTAAAGTCTATAATATCAGCACAGTGTGGGTATCTGGTCTGTTGTACCGTAAAGTCTATAATATCAGCACTTTGTGGGTATCTGATCTGTTGTACCGTAAAGTCTATAATATCAGCACTGTGTGGGTATCTGTTCTGTTGTACCGTAAAGTCTATAATATCAGCACTGTGTGGGTATCAGTTCTGTTGTACTGTAAAGTCTATAATATCACCTCTGTACATATTATTGGAGAAGTAATATGAACTTAGTATTGATAATTTCCTGTTGTTATCAAAGCTGTCCTGTTTTATTGTGTGTTTAAATTGATTTAATAAGTTTTCAAAGGGAAATGTCAGCACCTGAGAATTGATTAGGTAGCTTTACAATATCCATTAGATATCCCCTAAATGAATTAAGATGCTTTTAGATAGGCCTTATCATTTGATATTAACCTGGAGTTGGTGGATACCACTGTGAAGGTTTGGTAAAGTATGTGGTGCTAGGTTTGTACGGGTGGTATTAACAAATACTGCTGTTTATAATGACTTTTTCTAAAGAAAATGAAACAGTTGTGCCTCAGGTAACTCACACTTGTTAGATTTCATAGATCCTGTATCAATGTTGACATACCAGGCCATAATCTCTTTAGTGTTTTGATCACACAGATAGAGTTGTGTGACAAACTGTAATAATACCAAATACCTATATAGATTTACACTGTGTATGTCTAGTCAACTCCGTGATGTTACCCCAATGGGCGGTCCAGTGCGGTCAGGGAGTGACCCCTACACGCAGGACTGGGAAAGAGTGAATTCTGAACATGATCAGTACAGGGCTGGGTTGGTGTTAAAGTGTGGTCTTATTAGAATGTGACTGTATAACGAGCTGGTCATTCATGGTCCTGTTTCAGGCTGTCGTACCTCCCTCACAGGTACGCCTGACTTCAACAGCAGGAAACTATTTGGAGTGTGCAGAATGGTACAGGGATTTAAACATTTAATTACTTATGTAGGATTTGGCATAGTACCAGTAGAGAAGAATGAGAGTGAACTGTTGTAGAGATAATGAGACCTGGGGAAATACGGGTGGAGGGGCACGATATTGTTGACATTAAAAACATGATATGATTTTATCCCCTGTAAATATGCGAAGGGAAGCCACAGGCCACACTATGATGTATAATTAATAATAACACACAATACAATCAATACATTGTACAATTATTAATTGAATTTTGTTTTGAATAGAAGGAAAAATATAAAGGAAAACTATATACATGGCCACCTAATGGAGGTCTTACTCCTATCATTGTATTAGAACATGGTGTGGGATTAGGTTCTTTGTTCTTCGAGAGAACTTGCTTCAGCTATAAAAAACTAACTTATACCTTAGGTATGAATTGCGTTTTTTTCACTTAAACAAATATAGCTTGATTTTATAAAAATGAAGTACCTTGACTGCTCAAAGGGCCAACTGACATGGTACAACATACAACAGAATTTTGTTGCAAATCTTGTGTCAGCTTCTTTCATCAAAACACTTAAGAATATCTAAGAGGTCCCAAGTCGTGTTATCTGGCTAATGGCATGCTGGGATGAAGGACTACAGAAATCAAATGACCTTCACCTACTGTCAAGGTCACAGGAGTCATATGAGATATATTTCAAGAAACAAGTTACAACAAGGTACAGATTGATGGTACAGTAAAAGGTTACCATATACAGAAGTGGTCCAATCAATGACCTTCACCCCATTTCAAGGTCAATGGGGGAAAATGTGTCAAATCAGCAAAGAAAATATCTCTTGAATATCAATTTCTTGTCGATATTTTGCTGGGACGAAGAGCTAATAAGTTTGGCAAGTTTGATGTGCTCTTTCAAAGTCAGTTATCAAACTTGTCAAGATCTCCATACAACTTCTGAATTGCACGAGTAAGAGATCTGGAATCATTCCGGACTTATGTGAAAACAGTTTGATATCTACTGGTATATCATACAGGTTTGACAGTTTACAGATATATCATTCAGGTATGACATATAGATATATCATACAGGTATGACAGTTTACAGATATATCATACAGGTATGACAGTTTACAGATATATCATTCAGGTATGACATATAGATATATCATACAGGTATGACAGTTTACAGATATATCATACAGGTTTGACAGTTTACAGATATATCATTCAGGTATGACATATAGATATATCATACAGGTATGACAGTTTACAGATATATCATACAGGTATGACAGTTTACAGATATATCATTCAGGTATGACATATAGATATATCATATAGGTATGACAGTTTACAGATATATCATTCAGGTATGACATATAGATATATCATACAGGTATGACATACAGATATATCATTCAGGTATGACATTATACAAATATCATTCAGGTATGACATACAGATATATCATACAGGTATGACATACAGACATATCATTTAGGTATGGCATGCAGATATATCATACAGGTATGACAGTTTACAGATATATCATTCAGGTATGACATACAGATATATCATACAGGTATGACATTATACAAATATCATACAGGTATGACATACAGATATATCATTCAGGTATGACATACAGATATATCATACATTTTGTTTTATCATACAGGTATGACATTGTTTAGGTATATCATACAGGTATGACATTGTTTAGGTATATCATACAGGTATGACATTGTTTAGGTATATCATACAGGTATGACATTTTTTAGGTATATCATACAGGTATGACATTGTTTAGGTATATCATACAGGTATGACATTGTTTAGGTATATCATACAGGTATGACATTGTTTAGGTATATCATACAGGTATGACATTGTTTAGATATATCATACAGGTATGATACAGTACAAGTATATCATACAGTTATGACATAGTACAGGTTTTACAATGTATCTATATTGTATTTTCTATCAAATATATAAATGAAACTTCTCTTTATATAAATGTTCTTAATCCAACTACATGTATCAGTACATGTCTGGTGTAGAGGAGTGATAAATAATCAAATACCAACAAGATTGGGTGGTAAGACCGTCCTTGTTGTCACGAAGGATTAGAACCGTAATAGTCCTTTTCTGTCACACGATGACGGAAATTTGAATTGTTAATTTATTCCATATTTTACATGAATTCATTGATATTATTGGGAACCCGACATTTGTAAATCTGGAAGTGTCAAAATTGCTCTTTAAGAAATTCTTATTAGCATTTTCCTGTGTTAAGGTAATGATTGCTAATTTGGTTTATTTAGATTAGTTATTTGAGTAGAACTTTACCATGTACATATGATTACATTTCTTTATAGTACTTAATTGGTATTGTAAAATATTTACCTGGTCATATCAATGACCCATCGGTGTGTGTTTCTACTGATGGATAATGTTACATGTTTTTATTTCAGATTGGAATGGATTGCTACACAAGCCATAGATATGTGCCGTCATTTGATACCACAGGGGTACGATCATTCAGTAAAGATGATCCTACACAGCCAAGCCTGAAACTTATACCTTTAGATTTTAAAGGGCAGGAATCGGCCACTGTCAATATTTTTAATGCCAAGTAATGTGAATTACAAAAGGAACCTATATGTTGGAGTGGCTTCTAATCTTAAGGAAAATTAATGGAACGTGTTACCTATGTGCTATGGGCCTACCTAAATTTACCTGAGTATTGTATGCTGTCTGTTTGCATTGATTATATATAATTTGAGTGGGGCGAGCATGGCAGATAGGCCTTACACCAGTCAGGTATTGGAGCTTGTCCTTTTAATACTAGCAATAGTGGGTTTCACTGCCAATCTCCTAACACTCCTGTATAAAGTATCACGTGAATTTTCTCTCCCCAAACTCTGGAAATACGCTCTTCTCACTACCGACATAGCTCATCTATTGGTAGCAGTTGGATTAATTTTATTTTTTGTCTTCCAAGAAAGTGGTGTAAGTGGAGTTTGTTCAGCAGCAGGATTTTTTGTACAGTTTGGGATATTTGATTGTGTTTGTGGCTACCTAACAGCAGGCATTATATTACTGGGGATATACAACCCTGGAAAATCTTCACAGATCTCTTCCTTCCATCGCAATGTGTTTCTGGTTGTGATCATCCCACAGAAGATTATCTCCATCCTCCTGTCTGTCCTACCAGTGGTTCCTATTGAATTCTTCACTACAGTTGCCTCACATACTGTCACCTGCTTTAAGATCAGCAAGCCAGGGGACACTGGCGATAAGTTTGGCATCCTCATATTCTTTATACTATGGATTGCATTATGTCTTGCGACAGTAACATTTGTGATAAGTGCGGTTAAGAACTGGAAAGGTTTTAACAACCGAATTCACTCTGCCTCACCTAATGTTTGGCAGACTCAATTGTTACAACATGGCAAGACGCTGCTAAAGTTTCTCCTGTTTGAGAACGGAGTGTGGCTGGTGGAGCTGGTCATTGTCACATCTGTGGTGTACACTGGTGGGGAGGATGACCAGTCTTCGACCTGGACCTTGTACATAACACTTGGTGTTGTGACCATCATTCACTGGGTTGTGTCTATAGTACAGTGTGCCATGTGGACTTCATGTTGCTGCAAGTCATCAACTGCTGTGGAGGAGACACACCGCAAACTAAAGCGATTAGACCTCATCAAGATAGAGGTAGGTATTGTGTCTTCTCTAAAACCATGCTATACAAATCCACAAATATAACCTTGGAATACTATCCCTCAAATCTCACTTTTGAATACAACACCTCAAATCTCACCTTGGAATATTACCTCACACATATAATTTTGGAACAATACTCCACAAATATAACCTTAGAACAATACCCCACAAACATAACCTTGGAACAATATCCCACAAACATAACCTTGGAATACCACCCCACAACATAACCTTGGAATACCACCCCACAAACATAACCTTGGAACAATACCCCACAAATATAACTTTGGAATACCACCCCACAAACGTAACCTTGGAACAATACCCCACAAATATAACTTTGGAATACCACCCCACAAATATAACTTTGGAATACCACCCCACAAACATAACCTTTAAACAATACCCCACAAACATAACCTTGGAATAATACTCCACACACATAACCTTGGAATATCACCCCACAAATATAACTTTGGAATACTACCACACAAATATAACCTTTGAATACTAACTCTCAAATCTAATTTTGGAATACAACCCCTCAAATCTAACTTTGGAATACTCTTTCAAATATAAGCTAAAATCTAAATCCCCTCCCTCCCACTCTCACACACTTAGGTATTTTCCTCGACCTCCTAAAACCTACCACCATCACTATTCCTTTCTCTTCTCACCTTCATACTTCCATCATCTGTTTTTTTACCTGGCAACTGAATATCAATACTATATTTTCATCAAAGAATTAATATCAATTTTGTGTTTCTAATTCCAATATAGATTTTGTTAGCTATGAATTATACATTTTTGGGTACAATGAGCTTTATATAATAGTGTGCTGGAGGTGGGGAGTTATGGGTGAGGTGTTGGTAGGAGAGGAGAGGTGTGGAGGTAGCTACAACCACAATACTTTTTACATGTTGTATATTATATGTTTACATTACTGTCTCTGTCAACAGCAGGATAGTGATTTATACACTTGATGCAATATACCTGGTAGTTAAACAGCTACATCATAATTCATAATGTTTGAGAAATGACTAAGTGTAAACAATCCTCTATTTCTGGCATTTTCTACCATTGGATCTCCTGAAACTTACAATATTGGAACATAAACAATTTTACAATTCCTTTTTACGATTTGTTTAAATTTTCAATGTTGACAAACCACTTTTTTAAGTATCAGGTATTACAAGAAGAGAACTCACAAGGTAGAAACAAAATGTTGAAGAATTACTAGGAAGGAATCTGGAATGAAATCCACAAGGAGGAACTCTGAGCACAAATATCATAGTAAAATTCACTAGGTGGAAAACTTCTGTGGAAAATACAAAGGAAAGCAAATTTTAGGCAAACATGTATCACAGTTAATTGACAGGGCTGGAATCTCTTGAAGGTAATACAGGAAAAGAATTCTGACTATGCCAGAATTTCATAGAAAACTTGTAGGGCGGGAAAGTTGCAGAAATTTCATTGAAAATGGTACCTGGTAAGAAATCAAATGAGCAGAAAGTTCAAAGGAAACTAAAAAAAAACGATCAAAAATTGAACTCAGCCATTAGGAAAACTCACACAGTACAAATTTCAATGTAGACTCACAGGTGGGGAAACTCACTGAACAGAAATTTCAATGTAGACTCACAGGTGGGGAAACTCACTGAACATGAATTTCAATGTAAACTCACAGGTTGGGGAAAGTCACTGAACAGAAATTTCAATGTAAACTCGCAGGTTGGGGACACTTAATGAACAGAAATTTCAATGTAAACTCGCAGGTTGGGGACACTTAATGAGCAGAAATTTCAATGTAAACTCACAGGTTGGGGAAAGTCACTGAACAGAAATTTCAATGTGAACTCATAGTTGGGGAAACTCACTGAGCAGAAATTTCAATGTAAACTGGCAGGTTGGGGAAACTCCGTGAGCAGAAATTTCATTTCAAATCACAGGGTGGGAAAACTCACTGAACATGAAATTCAGTGTAAACTCACAGGTTGGGGAAACTCACTGAACAGAAATTTCAATGTAAACTCGCAGGTTGGGGAAACTCAGTGAACAGGAAGAGTTTCCAATCTTTAAGATAACTACCAGTAATAAAATCATATTTGTTTGCTGTCAAATCGAAATGAAAATCAAATAAAATTTTTTATTGAAAATTCTTTATTGATGACTTAAGTAAGCTAGTTATGGTGATTTTATCTTGGAGTTGTGGCAAACGTCAATGAGGTGCCTGCAGGCATATCAGGTGATCACTTGCCATATAACAGTTCAGTTCAAAGCTTCAATATTATTACCAATTCTTCAGGTGATCACTTGTATTTTTCTTTAATTTTATAGCAAAAAGAAAAAAGAAGGCTTGTTGATCATGCATCATTGACTTCTTGATTGATTTATTTGTTAGGAGTTGGAATGTCACTACATATGTTGATATTTACATCATTCTCTTACTCAAGTATATCAATTCAAATGCAGTTGCTTAGGGACGTTATCATGTTTTCGTTTACATATAGTGACCCCATGCAATGATATTAAGAGGGTATGTGATCAGTGACATTAAGGGTGTATGTTATATGTTTCTCATTTATTTGATGGAATATTTAATCAAAATTAATGTGAATATCATTTGCTGTATATGTGATGTAAGTTACACAAGGTTTTGTTTGTGTTTCTTGGGTTCATTGCTCCATGAACAGCCAGGTACATTTTTTGGTGTTGTCACCTTGTAGTAGCTGTTGGCTGTGTCACTAAACACAAACAGCAGGCCTGATGCATGTCATCATAGCAATTAGAGAAAAGTATCTTGCCCAAAGACAAAACCATGTCAGTGCACATAGGTCCTTTTCTCAGCTTCCTTAAACAAAAACAGCCACCGTGGGGAGCTTGGAACCACATATCTCAGCTCTTCTCATGAAGTTATGCTATCATGGCCTTCTCTGCTTGTATGACATCACAGTCTCAGTTTCACACAATGGTAAATGATCCATCTATGTAAGTTATCATTACTTTAATGACCAACTTATCTGTTTTTTACAAGTGTTTTTTATTTATCTCCCTTTGTTAGATATGGTCATAAAAGTAGCATTAGTGGATTTGTCGGTCAGAACAGTAGGTCCACCATTATCAAATTATCACAAGCATAACAGCAGTATTCAATGTTCAGGATTCAACTTATATTTAAAGTAATTTCTTCCCCTCAATTTTAGGAATGTGACATGTTTTAAAATTTTTGTTATTCATGTCCAAACTTGTTACTGAATGCTGTTTTCTGTCATTTTTCATGAAAAAGCCTGACTAGCTAGATACAGTTCTAAGATGTGAACACATGTTAACAGAGAAAGTTTGAAGAAACACAGTAGGGACAACTTTTACCGGTCAGGATTATACAAAGATATGCAGTATGATATTGATCAGTATCAGATAAAACTGATAAAACGTCCTGTACCAGTTTCAGTGACAGAACACTTTAAAAGCATGCTCAAATATTCTATATTTGCTTACATTTTATAAAAAAAGTGTTACATTTTCATATGTCAACAGAGATGACCAATATTAGTGGGTGTCTGCCACAGAGCTGAGACTAAACCAATATAGTTGTCTGTTGACATGCCTGATTAGTGTATTCTCTGTCAGACAACACACACCTGGTAACATTATGTCTGATTCTAGTGTTTGTTATGGGCAAATAAATAAGTTACTCTTCCACTGTACTATTGCTTATCTAGAGGTTCATATAGTTACCTTCCCAATGGGAAAAGAAATCTGAGAATGTGCAGTTGTATTGTAAGTGATATGGAAATTACATGCTGAAGACATTATTAAAACTTTTAAAATAAACCTTGAATTTCTACACAACAAGCTGTCATTCTTGTTAAAAAGTGTTAACCCTACACAAAGATTATACACAAAAGGTATGAAAAATCTCCACTGATAAAACTTACCCATTTATTGCTGGAAAGTTATGATCAAATTTCTTGAATAATTTTTGCTTGAATCTTATTTTGGTTGTTCAATTATTCTTAAATGCCCATTTATTGTTAGGTAAACTAGTAAACTGCTGTCAAATGTGAAAACTGTTTTGGAACAGAAATGTTACATGTATCATTGATTCTTTTTGTCTTGAAGCAGTTTGTGTCAAAAAGAAGAAAGTCATGGCAAAACAGCTTTAGGTCAAAATTAAAGTCAAATAGATAAAGTTCCATGTCATTATTCCCTTGGTCAATGTTAAGTAGTTCTAGGTCAATGTTTGATAGCTCTAGGTCAATGTCAAACAACTCAAGGTCATTGTCAAATATCTAAGTTCTATATTGAACACTGATAGGTGCATGTCAAACTATACTGTTGGCCAAGAACTGCAGGTTCCTGTCAACTTGGTTTATTCTTAAAAGAATTAGCCAATACCAAGAGGAATGTATAGATGATTTGTTTGTAATCTCAAAAAAACAACAACCCACAAACAATGGCTTCTATATAGATCCCAGTTCAGTAAATTCCACTGTAACATAAACTCAGTCTGGAATTTTCTTTACACTGTTGAGAATGATAGCACACAAATGCTAAGTAGACAGATTTCTCAAGAGTTTGTAGAAAAAAAAAAAAAAAAAATTTGTAATTGTTTATTTATTTTGTAAGTTAAACTAGAGTTGTAATGATTAAGATTCTGTAAGAGAGTTAAAGTTACCATTACACTTTCAGAGAATAAGATAAATGAGTACTAAAAGCATTTAACTTGTAAAATATTGAAATTGAACCCTGTGTCTAATATTTTCTAAGGTGACAGCCTTGATAAAGTTGACAGAGATATAAACCCATAGAAATAAGCTCAGTGAAGTTTGAATACACAAACCTCTTGATTTCTACACATTGATCCCATGGTTTGATGTCACTTGGCACTGTGCCAGTTGTTTAGAAGATTAAATTGTAAATGTTGTCTTTTGAAAGTTGTGTGGTTTGTTTAAATGAAACGTTAGGTGTTTCTGTCACATGGAAGGCCA